GCTGGCTGCTAGAAACTTCCCGATATTTATTTCTGTTTAAATACAGAAAATCTGGCACAAGGCCTATAAAGGGGATGGAGAAAAGAACGGTCTTTATCTTTAACTTAGCTAACCCAAACATACAAACAATATTCCTAACACCAAATCAACACATTCTTATTTAACTTTCTTACTACATTCACCATAATACCTTACTGTCTATATGAAGATCCTAAATAGTCCCCATATGTACAAATCATTGTCTGTGGGGGGAAGGGGGAATAAAACAACACTTTAAAAACAAATCCCCAATGGAAACTTTCCTCTCCAAAAAGTAGTACCTGCTCCTATTTATAGCAGCATTTAGTCATCTTCTAGGCTTCTTTCTTTCTTTTATATGCTATGAATTGTCATCTGCTAGGCTTCTTTTACTTGCTAAGCCCTCTTTTTCATCTTGGTTGCTTCATTTGTCTTTACTTTCTACGCCTTTTTCTGTCATTTTTACTTGAGCTGTTAGATCAACCAAACAAAGTCGAACACACAGCGGAATTTACATACGAAATGGAAGAACACAATTACTTACATTTCGATATCAAGTGACACCGCGTTAAAATCATTTTAATACACGGTGTCCACCGGAAATCAGTTAACAAATACGACCTAATAAATTTCTATTCCCATCATAACAACAAAATATAATCCGGAATAATCATCAGAATCTATGTTAGAGCTCTAAGAATATGCAGCCCGGATTATTTACAGGAAGAGGAGAAATACATAGAAAACACTTTCATACTTCTCAAGGACCCTAATTATTTTATATTCAATGCGAAACATAAGGCCCGTAAAATATTCCAAAACCAAAAAAAAACCGACCCCCCTGAGAAACCAATGAATCAAAAATTGTATTATCCTACCAGCTGACATTATCATATCTACAATCGAAAAGAATTTATCTAAACTCAACAGAAAATTTGTTACTACTACATCCAAAACAATAAAAGACTTAGTCATTACTAAACAAACAATATGTTAAAACTGAAGGAGAAGTTTACTCCATCGCCTGTAATAGTTTTCACAAAAAATACATAGGGGAAACCTCAAGGAATTTAAATAACACATAATAAGACCAGAAAAGGGCATTTTACAAAACAATACGTCAAATGTGTTGGTTATCCACTGTTACGAGACTGGCCACAATTTTGACATAAAATGCTACCCTGATCAAAGATGAAAATAATTCACTACGACATAAAATGTTCAGAGGATGCCTTGATCACAATGTGTTGTGATGTCTTCGCTCTAATGAGGCTATTGTGGACTCTTCCACTTACTATAAAGTTAGTAGGAAAAGTAAGCCCCGGGGGAACAGTGATATAGACTGAACGCTGGTCAACCGACACACACTCACAAGTCGTGTAAGCCTCTTCTATTCTATTTACTGTCCAATACACTATTTATCTGAAACCTCTTGTTCTGTTATTTCGTAACAGATCACTTGGTCACAACAGAAAGAAAGAAAGAAAGAAAGAAAGAAAGAAAGAAAGAAAGAAAGAAAGAAAGTGTTGTGATGTCTTTCCTCTAATGAGGCTATTGTGGACTCTTCCACTTATTATAGGAAAGCAAAAGTTCGGGGGAATAGTGCTCCAAACTACTCAACTGTCGAAACCTCTGTCTTTGGCAGAGAGGAACACGGACGAGACTTTGTCAAAGGGCAGAGTTTCGTCCGGGGAGGTAGACAGGCCCTGAACCCGTTTATAGGGGTTCGAAGGGAATTTTTTGGCCGAGCCTACTGGCTCGGAAAACCTACGATAAATTCGGTCTTGTGCCTCATACATCCTTCGTGGGTGGGGGCTGTTAAATATTAACAGTGATATAGACTGAACGCTGGTCAACCAACACATCTTCCCAAGTCGTGTAACACTCTTCTGCTGTATTTACTGCTCAATGCACTATTTATAAGCAATCTCTTGTTTTGTTATTCCTTGACCAATTACTTGGTCACAGCATCTTGGTAACGAAGGATTAAACGTATTTGTTGCACAACATCTTGGCAACGAAGAAACGGTCTTCATGTTAAATCATAATTTTTTTTCCAGTGTCTACAATGGTAAAGATAGAAACTCTATGGCAAAAGAATATCCAGTGTTAAATACAACACTGTCAGTGAAAAAAAAGAAACCCCGTAAAACAATAAGATTTCTACAAGTTCAATTCAGTGGTTGGGAAGAAGGTTAATGGACCTTGTTATTTGCCTTCTATTCCAACAAAACAGTAAATGAACTGAATAAGTCAAACAGACTTATTGTTTTCACTAATAAGATAAAGAAAAAAATGACACCCCTCTCTCGCTTTTAAATTTTTCTCAAAATAAATTGGTCAAGACAAGCAGACTTTTAGTTGTGTGAAGTGAAAAAAAAATCCCCTTTCATTTCTTAATTTTTCGTACCACCGCAGTAAAATGGACGAATTTAAAAGTGCTATGCTAGAGTTTTTTAAAATACCGACAGGAACAACATTTGATGTTGGAGCAAAAATTTCAAGAAATACAAGAGAAATTCCAACGAGAACAAACAGAATTGCGTTTGCAAAATGAACAAGAAAATAAAAAACACTGCATCGAGAAATGCTGGTTAGACAACAGAAGCTTGAGGAATTGCTCCTTCAAACACAAAATGAGCAAAGGCACTTATCCAACAAAAGATAATATGTGTATAGCGAAAACGCGTTCTTTCCAAATGCTATATGGAGTGCTATTGAAAACTTCACGTACACACCTGAAAATGAAATTACGTTCGCTTCGTATTTCAGGATTACAGATTCAAACTGAAGGACGCGAAGTGTGAGTTGTTGCTTGAGAGAATCAAGTACTAGGGGCAAATAATTGACAAAAACGTCCCGACACACAACTGCAATAAAGAATATGGCAGCACCAGAAAATGTGTCGGCTCTTCAAAGTTTTTTTTTAGGTCTTGCCAATTATTATAACTTTTTTTGTTCCAAGAATGCACAGTTTCAGAGCAGCACTTTATGAATTATTGAGAAAAGACAAAGAGTGGGAATGGACAACCAAATGTCAGGAAGCGTTTGAGAAAAGAAGAAGGTCCTTACATCAGATCTGTTCCTGACTCATTCAAAACTTGACATCATTGTAGACAGCGATGCTAGCTCCTACGGTATTGGGGCGTGCATTTTACATAAGATAAAGGGTGGATTGATAAAGCCAATCTCCCATGCATCTAGGACGCTATTACCAACTGAAAAGGGGTTATTCGCAAATAGAAAAAGAAGCCTTAGGAATCAATTTTGCGGTAACTAAATTCCATAGATTTATTCATGGAAGGTATTTTGTGTTGCAGACAGACCATTGTCTACTCCTTACTATTTTTGGATCAAAAAAGGGTCTGCCAACACATATGGCTAATAGTCTGCAAAGATGAGGAAACATTCTCCTCAATTATAATTACAAAATGGAGTTTCTCCCATCCACTAAAATCTGTCATGCAGACGGGTTATCGAGATTGATACCTAAATACGCTGAACCCCTGGAAGGTACAGTCATTGCTGCCATAAGAACAGAGGTCGAAATAAAAAGCACCTTGTGCAATACTGTCAGGGAGCTTCCAATAACAAACAACGAAATAATAGACAAAGCGTCCGAGGATGACTTTATAAAGGAAATAAAAGACAAATTAAAAAGCAAAGATCAGAGTATTTCAAAAGTCTACTCATTCTGTAACGATATATTAATGTACGGAGACAGAGTAGTAAATCCCATTTACACTTCAGAATAGAACACTAAAGGAATTCCATGTTGGTCATCCGGGAAGTTCAAGGATGAGGAGTTTGATGAGGAGTTATGTCTACTGGGCCAACATGGACAGGTATATTGAGAACAGGTTAAGATCGTGCAAAGGATGTACTGTGGCTGATAAAGCACCCTCGATAAAATTCAATCAATTCGATCGTCCGTGGTCGCGGATATCTCGTAGTAGCTGACAGTCATTCCAAGTAGCCAGAGATATTGAAATGCAAGAAGTCGACCGCGGAAGTGACAGTAAAGTTTTTACACGATCTATTTGCCCGTTTTGGAGTCGTTGACTGTATTGTAACAGACAATGGCAGGCAATTTACATCCTGTGAATTTGAGGAGGCTTGTCAGTTATTCCTGACTGAACATGTAACCACGGCGCCATATCACCCAAGAAGTAATGGGCAGGCAGACCGTTTCGTAGATACTTTTAAGAGAGCGCTGGGGAAGGTGAGAGGTACTCCCATCGATACGGCTATACAACAGTTTTTGCAGGTCTCTGGGGTAACTCCTAATAGTAATCCTCCATCTGCCAAGACGCCAGCGGAGGTCATGTTTGCCAGGAAAATAAAATCGGTATTTGACAAATTCCTTCCGAATGAAACAAAAGCGGGTAATAACAATAAACTGCTTAAAAAGCGCTTTAGGATCGGCGAAAAGGTTTATTTTCGTATATTTTGGAACAACAAAGCACACTGGTAGATAGGAATAATTGACAAACAAATTGGGAACCTGATGTACATAGTTCAGGGGCCGATGTTTGTACATAAACGTCATGTTAACCAAATCAGAAGACGATATGAAAACATAATCGACAGGGATCCCATAGAAGATGACACCATGGACGTCATCTTTGACACATTCGAGGTTCCAATACCATAATCGGTACCAGAGCTCAGAAGGGCCAAAAAGGAAAAGGAAATTCACGGAACCTTTAGAAGTCAACTCGAAGAGGAAAAGATATTGAATATTTTTTATTTCATACCATGACTGCTGTAAAAGGAAAAGAATGAGAAAAAACCCTTCTCACGTATAAAATTTTGAATTACCAGAAAAACACAATACTCACTGGATTTACCAGTAAAACATATCCATTTTTTTCATTATTTTGGTATAATGAATAGAGACTAACACGTGAAATGCGTATCGTAAATCTACAAAGAAAAGGGGAAAAAAGTGACAGTCATTCCAAGTGACCAGAAGAATTGAAATGCAAGAAGCCGGCCGTGGAATTAACAGTCAGGTTTTTACACGAGCTATTTGCCCGTTTCGGGGTTGTTAACTGTATTGTACCAATTCCTACATATAGCTTTGACTTTATTGTAACAATTCCTACGTATAGCTTTGACTGTATTGCAACAATTCCTACGTATAGCTTTGACTGTATTGTAACAATTCCTACATATAGCTTTGACTTTATTGTAACAATTCCTACGTATAGCTTTGACAGTACTGTAACAATTCCTACATATAGCTTTGACTGTATTGTAACAATTCCTACATATAGCTTTGACTGTATTGGAACAATTCCAACGTATAGTTTTTTTTTCAAATTAGTTGTTGCCGATTTTTTCTTTTATTTTAAATAATATTTGAATAAAGTATTGTGAGGTTATGATAAAATTAATGTAATGATACAGTTTTCCAATGATGATGATGATGATGATGATAATGCATCTTCTTCTTCTTTTTCTTCTTAATTTTTCTCTCATTTCTTCTGTTTTTCCTATTCTTCTTGCTTTTTCTGTTACGTTTTCTCAGTTCCTATCACTCTACTTTCATCTTTGCTTGGGGTCAAAGGAGTTTTAACATTTCGTAATTCACTCTGGTTACTTTTCCTTTTACCATCATTTTGTATTAGTCATTTTGTATTAGTCATTTTGTCTACTAGTTCGTTTATTACTTTCCTCTTTTCAACTTTTCTTTATTATTTTCTTTCTTTTTTTCTTTCTTTTTTCTTTCTTTTTTTCTTTCTTTTTTCTTTCTTTTTTTCTTTCTTTTTTTTCTTTCTTTTTCTTTGTGAACCACTTTTTTGATACATATTTCCCTTGGTTTTTCTTTTACTACTACTACTACTTCTTTTTCTTCTTCTTCTTTTCCTTTTCCTTATCTTCTTCTTCTTCTTTTCCTTATCTTCTTCTCCTTCTTCATTTTCTGTTTCTACTTCTTTTCCCTTTTTCGTGTTCTTTTTCTTTTGTCTTCTCTCTTCTTAACTTCGTTTATTCCTCTTCCTCCTCCTCTAGTTTCCCACTTCCTTTTACTTTCGCCCCTTTCTTTTACTGTTCATTAGCTGATGGAACAACTCGCGCTCAAATATTTGCCAGCTCAAAGCATCCGATCAGAAATGCCAAAACCCGATCGCATATTAGCAAATGCCGAAAAGTGATTATTTGTATATCCAAACAGGAGAGAAATACCGTTTCAACGCATGCGCAAAATACCGGAGACGATAACTATTTGCTGACCTAACAAGGAAAAGACCATTTTTATGCCGCCGCATATAAATTTACTGTTTAGATGTCTAAACCTAACACAGAAAATGACAGGTTATGAGCGCACACGCATTTATAGGAAAATAGGCGCGAGAATCAGTTAATATATCAATCTGTTTTTTTTTGTTTTTTTTTTTATAGAAATAATTTGAGCATAATATTCGACGGGGTAAAATGTTATCAAAAATGAAAAAAAAAAAAAAAAAAAAATAAAACGTTTCCCACCTGTCTATTAACCATTCGATTTTGCAAAAAAGAACTCTGTTTTTTTGCTGAGCAATCTCTCTCTCTCTTTCTCTCTCTCTCCCTCTCCCTCTCTCTCCCTCTCTTTATCTCCCTCTCTCTCCCTCTCTCCCCTCTCTCTATCCCTCCCTCTCTCTCTCTCCTTTGTCGCTCTCTCCCCCCTCTCACTCCCCTCTCCCTCTCTCTCTCCTTTGTCGCTCTCTCCCCCTCTCTCTCTCCTTTGTCGCTCTCTCCCCCTCTCTCACTCCCCTCTCCCTCTCTCTCCCTCTTTCTCTCCCTCTTTCTCTCTATCTCCCTCTCTCTCTCTCCATCTCTCTCTCTCTATCTCCCTCTCTCTCCCTCACTCTCTCTCTCAATTATTCACTGCCAATCTTTCTCCTTTTTCTTTTTTTAATCATTTCACCCCAAGTAAGGTGGGAATTCCACTAGTACGCAGAGGGTTACAGGGAGTGTGTAAAAGAGAAGACTGGGTATAGGGAGGATTGAGAAAAGGACAAAAGATGAACGGGATTCAAAAAGATAGAAGATGGCGTTTGACTGGCGTTTGAATTGTAGTTATTTGTGAAACAAGGAAACTTAAGGGAGTTCCACAGGTGGGAACTGTGAGAAAAGAAAGCGTTAGAGTAGAAGTTGCGGTTGCATTTAACCATTTCAACTGTAAACTGGTGGGACCTAAATGCCAATCTAGTAGCACGCTTAAATTCATGGAGTTGGGACTCAGGGACAAAAGGCTAGTCAGAGCAATTGCCATGAAAATATTTGTAGAAAAGACAATCTTGTAAGAGTAATGGATAATGATTGATATCTAGATCCCAAGTCAAGATTGATTAGATTGCAGATCCTTCTTTGGATTTTGTCAAGGACCTCGAGATGAATAGCAGAAACACTAGACCGGATATGACGACAGTATTCAATGAACGGAAGAATGGTAGATTTGCAAATGTGCAAGACGGTCTCTGACGAGAAACACTTACTGACACGACACAGCGATCCAACTTTCCTTGCACTAGATGCAGCTATTGACTGGATGTAATCGTTGCACTTCAAGTCAGTTGAAAGTGTAAGGCCAAGAGGGAAAAGAGGCGCTAAAATACATTAATATATCAGTTTATATATATATATATATATATATATATATATATATATATATGTGTGTGTGTGTGTGTGTGTGTGTTTGTGTGTGTGTGTGTATACTAATAATTTGAGCATAATTTTCGGCGGGCGAAAATGTTACTGACTCAGTTTCAGCTGTTTATTCAGCGTTCGGTTTAAAAAAAAAAAACCTTATCTCTTTTTGCTTAGCAATATGTCACAACCACCATGGATAAACAGATCCCCGTTTTCACTGCTAAACTTTTTTCTTACCATTTTTTCGACTTTAAACAGGTAGAGAGAGAGAGTGGGGGGAGATGGGAGAGAGATTCATACATTAGTCTTAAGGTGTGCTATATTTAAAGTGCTAAATATCAGGGATAGAGCGTGAGTAAAATATAAAAGTGAACATTGAAGTCAACACTTAGAGGCGATATATATATATATATATATATATATATATATATATATATATATATATATATATATATATATCTAGGTGTAATCAGACCAAATATACATATTCCAAAATTCGCTTGAAAATGAAACAGGACTAGGGACTTTAATTTAATTCTATAACTGAATTTAAAGTTTTAGTTTATGTTTTTTTGAAACGTGGTAATACCTGTGTAGCAATGAAACCATATTTATATTTTTAAATTAATAAATTTTTGATATATATATATATATATATATATATGTGTGTGTGTGTGTGTGTGTGTGTGTGTGTGGACTCTCCCGTTGTATTCGATGTATGAGGATCAATCAGCTCCGTTACGAGGAACCGACAGCCAAGTCAGCAGCACATATAATTTGATTATAGTGGTGAAATCTTTGTGCAGAAGCAACCACACTTTTTGAAGGTCCCAACAAAGAGGGGGGTCTGGTGCCACAAGGTGTGCAAACGACCCTCCACAGGTTTTGAATTCAGAGTTGTCCTTTTCCTAGACCAGTTGCCATCCAAGGCTATAGAACCCTGTCCTGCTATTTACCCATAGCTAGAGAGAGAAAAAAGAGTATTGATACATTTTCCAAAGGTATTAGCACGTAAGTGAATGGATTCGAACTCGGTTCTCCGATTCCTCAATCCGATCTGAGCCGTTACCCACTACTCCACCACCGTGCCTACCCTATACTTTTATATATATATATATATATATATATATATATAGAGAGAGAGAGAGAGAGAGAGAGAGAGAGAGAGAGATTGAGGAGGCACAATGGAATAGTGCATATATATATATATATATATATATATATATATATATACTTATTTCATGTCAATATTTTCTCTCCACATTTGACCTTCGAGAAGACAATAGTCACCTTTTATACGCATCATAATTCCGATAAAGCCATTGAAACGCAAACGGGTGACATTTAACAGGAAATCCAGCCACAAATGCTATATTCCAAAAGTGGCCGTTGGCTAAACTGGTTTTACAAACATTAGCAAAGGTAGCTGCGTAACTCGATCAGGTGTATCAGAAGAGGCTAAATGCGCTTTAGAACTGACGGTCAAATTTCAATCTTATATTCTCAGTATTTCATTTTCAAGGACGATTACTGGAATTTTTTAACTACAAAGAAAGGTCAATCTTCACAACTGGAAATCATGTAATTTAAACATTTCTTGCATATTTTCATGACGATTATATATATATATATATATATACATCGATGTTTGCGATTATATATATATATATATATATATATATATATATATATATATATACATACATCGATGTTTGCGTTAGTACGGTGACATAAGCGACGAAGTTTCCCCACCACTTCCATAATCACACCAATACACGCAATCTACATAAACACAAATTTTTTAAAAATTAATCAGTTTGTCTGACGATCGCTAAAGCGTGAAACCCAGGATCACAAACTCACATCTATCCAACCATATATATATATATATATATATATATATATATATATATATATATATATATATATATATATATTATATATTTAGGCAGCAATTTTCATTAATGTATGTTTCATTAAATAATATAGAAAGTTTTGTCGATTTATTTTAAGTAAGTTCCTTTCATATTGTCTTATAGGCTTAATCACATTATCGTTGAAAGACGAAAGAAAAACACCTTATTGATACATGTTTAAATCCAATGTAAGCTTTCGGCTTACATAAGCCATTATCAAAGGTGACAATTACTTTTAAATATATCGACCAATATACGGACGAAACGACAATGATAGTCCGCCCTTGCTGCATGAAAATTTCAAGTATCGACAAACATCGTATATACGAGACGCGGATGAGAAAATCGCGTCGCAGCTCGTGACGTCACACATGACCACGTGGGAGGGAAAAACGAGAAGTATTAAGCATGAGAAGCCGTTGGTATAAACCAGTGGCTTCTGTTATAAATTATAGGCATTTAAGGATATTTGTGGAGATTTCATAGTTTATTTTGTTCAGGTTCGGTTTCAACTGTTTTTATGTATAAAGCTTCAAGAATATATTAGTGCATATATATATATATATATATATATATATATATATATATATATATATATATATATATATATATACAGGGTGTCCCAAAATAATGTATACATACATTCTTTGAATCGTTATAACTTATTCAATCTATGTATTTTGGCTTGTAAATACGATTAATACAAGAGAAAGAATTCACATTTAAAGAATTTGAGAGTAAAATGTACAAAAATACATTGAATTAGCTTTAATAAGATAAAAGCTACTTGGGACAATGGCAGAATGTTCATATGATGATGAGTTCATCTCAAGTGTTCAATCTGGTTGCCGTTCTGTTCAATACACTTTTCATATCTTGAAGAAATACACCTACAAACGTCCAGTATCATTTCCTCTGGTATTTGAACACATTCTTCTTCAATTGCTACTCTCATTTCAGTAGTTGTTTCAGGTTTCCTGCCGTAAACTTTGTCTTTTGGAAATCCCCACAAAAATAAATCCAAGGGTGTCAAATCTGGTGATCTAGGTGGGTAGTCAACTGTCCCTCTTCTTCCAATCCATCTGTTTTGCAGATTTTCATCCATATAGTAAATGTACTATTAACTATTAATATTGAAAGAGCGTATACATTATTTTGCGGCACCCTGTATATATATATATATATATATATATATATATATATATATATATATATATATATATATATATATATAAATAAGAGAGAGAGAGAGATAGAGAGAGAGAAATGTAAAAGAATGAAGAATAAAAAGGCAACGTTCAAAACATTCATTTAAAACAGGGCTTACCAAAAGAGTAGAGCAATAAATTTATACACTGTCAAATAATTTAGACATACGATGTCTGTCTATTTTTGTGTTAATCCTTTCGAGTCCACGAATCAATATTTTGGTACCCATAGAAAATTAAATGTTTGTAATAGCAAAGATTATCTCTCTCTCTCTCTTTCTTTATATATATATATATATATATATATATATATATATATATATATATATATATATATAGGTGAACATTGAAGTCAACACAGACTGTTTCATGCTAGAGGCAATCGTCAGGCGGCCTAGTATAAAAAGCAGTCTGTCACTTCTGTATTTATATTTATATACACACTATTTCTGATATTAATCACTTTTCCCTATAAATATAGCATACCTTAAATGTATATTTCTGCATATATATATATATATATATATATATATATATATATAGTTTATGAAAAACTAGCTAACCCGTATGGGTAAACCTAAGGAGGATAAAATCCAGAGAGCTCAATGTAAATTCAGAGCAAATAATTTAAATAAAAAATAACAACTTTAAGGTATAGCATGAAATGGATTACGTCAGACAATTATTTAATATATTTTCTGCTCATAAGTTACTTTCATAGTCATAATTTATTTAAGTAAATGCTCTGTTTTTAATTAAGCAGTATCAATTACATTTATCGGCCTGAATGACCGAGAAATTATATCTATATCTATACAAATAATGTATAAAGAGAAAATATATTAAATAATTTTTCGACAATCCATTTCATAATATGTTATCATTGTTTACGTTAAGTTATATTTCGTGTTCAGAAAAGATCGATTGAGAAAAATCGTCGAAGGTGTGTGTTTATAAACTGTAATTCGAACTTTGCTGACCAAGACGCTTCTCTGTAGCTGAATGGTAACGGCACGTCAGGGTTATATGAATGTTCCCATAAGTGTTACACTTTTGTTTTCTGCCAGGAGTGCGAATATTTTCTACGAAATTTCTCGAATAATACAGACATATTACGTCTATTTATTTTTGTACTGGTCTAG